GGTAGGTAGTAAGTAATAATATATATATATATATATATATATATATATATATATATATATAATATATATATATATATATATATATATAATATATATATATATCTATATATATATATTCCGCATACATACATACATACATACATACATACATACGTGCACATATAACATAGACACATACATACATACCATATACATATACATATACATACATACCACACACACATATATAGACCATCATATGCTAGCTATGTTTAGTATTTTGCCGTATCGATATAGAACAGACGGAAGTACAGATAAAGATAGGCATATATAAACATATTGCTTTTGATCGAACTTTGCACCGACACACCAACGGAAAGGAGTGTGGTGAACACGGATTGAAAGAGTAAAATCGACATGGACCGCCAATAAACCGAAGAGACCACTCACTGAGACGGACGTGATTATATATATGCACAAACACACACACATATATATGTGTTTTGCGCGCACGCATATATTTTAAAAAATAGTGCACAGATGAAGGTATATACATTCATATTATTTTACGTATCTGTACAAAACAGCCGATCTTATATATCTATACAAAACAACTTATATACTTTCATCATACACGAATTAGATATACACAAACTTACACATATATAAATGCTGTGTGATATATGCAGATCTTGATACACACATGCATAGCTAATACGTATTCTGAGTTGATTTGCTGTAGTAGTACCCGAACAACACTCTCTCGCCTATCGAGGAAAAAACCCACCATACTCTTGTATGCATTCATACACATAGGCATCAGAACACACATATAACGATGAAGATACACGCACATATGCATTACAAACACCATGTAAAAAGAATGAATATATAGGCACACACAGACACAGACACAGATACACATATATAAACAAACAACTATTACCTATATATATATAAATATATAAATATATAAATATATAAATATATATATACACAAGAAACTAATACCTATTCTGAGTTGACGCGTTCGCAGTAGTACCAGACCCACACCCGCCTGCCACTCGTGGAAATGGGCCACCATGCGCTTCTCTGGTTCACGCTGCAACAACTCACCCAAGAACCAACACACCAAGTAGCCCAGCACAATGGCGTTGTTTGTCTCGACATCGTCGCTGGGTGTTCCTGCAGTAGTTCGCAGGGGGCATTGGGTGTGTATGTAAATGTATTGATATAATGATGTATATGGTGTGTATGTACATGTATTGATGTATTGATGTATTGATGTAAATGGTATGTACTGTAGCTGTAACTGAATGTGCAAAAATGTTCATATACATATGTCCACTTAGAGGTTTTCCACAACAGGAAAGCGAGCACAAAGGTGTTGTGTGTCAATGCGATGCCTCTGGACATCCCATCATTGTTTCAAAAGGACGAAAGAATACCACCTGGTGGTTCGCTGCTTAGAGACAACGAGCACCATTGTAGTAATACAAGTGAACAGCAAGTATTTGTACACATGTATGAATACACACATGTTGTACTGCGCAGGGGTGGATGTCATCCAAGTTGAGTGTAAAGATAGAAATCTACATACATACATGCGTAAAAAAAAACTACCAACGTTTAACATCAACAAACATGTTTACACGGCAAACAACTCTAATTAGGTGCTATGCCACATATACCTACAAAGGAAGTGTAGCCACATATACCTACAAAGGAAGTATAGCCACGTATACCTACAAAGGAAGTATAGCCACGTATACCTCCAAAGGAAGTATAGCCACGTATACCTACAAAGAACGTATAGCCACGTATACCTACAAAGGAAGTGTAGCCACATATACCTACAAAGGAAGAATAGCCACGTATACCTACAAAGAAAGAGTAGCCACATTACCTACAGAGGAAGTATAGCCACGTATACCTACAAAGGAAGTATAACCACGTATACCTACAAAGGAAGAATAGCCACGTATACCTACAGAGGAAGTGTAGCCACATATACCTACAAAGGAAGTATAGCCACGTATACCAACAAAGGAAGTATAGCCACGTATACCTACAAAGGAAGTATAGCCACGTATACCTACAAAGGA